TTCAGGTTCCCTGGTTAATGAGTTGGGTAATGAGAGGGTAATGCAAGGTGGGAGAAATACAGAGGTAAAACTAATCTGTTTTCCTTGAAGGATCTGTGTGCACTTTATGGGATTAGTTTAGACCAGTGCCAACAGTGTCTTTTAGGCAGCAAATTTTTTCATTACTGTGTAATTCATTGTCATGCTGTGAACAGGAGAAGCACCATACATGGAGAAAGACAGGTTTCTTAATAGCTTGTTTTAAACTTTCCAACCTACTTACATGGACTTCAGTGGAACAGCTCTGAATTTTGGCACAGCTTCACATTTTTCTAATGAAGAAATCCTCTGGCAAACACTTACTTGTTTACACCTCAAACAGTTGGCCATCAGGATGAAGGAATGTAATGGGCACTGTACTGACTTATCTTTGTTCTCTGGCTTTTGATGGGCTCATTAACATTTGCCCTTTAATAGCACAGCAGAGAGTTACAGAGCATTTGCTTTAGGATTCCTTCACTGGAGGTGACATTTATTTTAAGAGTATTCTGAAATAGCAAATAATGCCCATTGTAACTACAGTAACTTAACATAATTTTTCTTGCTGTCACTATGGTTCTGAATGGGCAGGTGAATACAGACATGAGCAGAAAATCTGCCCTGTGGGAAGCTGAGAGCAGGAATTACCACCATAGTCAGCCTTCTAAGTTCATTCCTGCTTTTCTTCTGTGATTGAGGTCATCTGATCATATTTGTGCTGCTCCCTCTCATGCATGATCTGTTCAAGCTAAGAGAGTCCCAAGTGGACAAAAGGCAGAAGTTACTCCAAGGGGAGCAGTGCTCCATCAGTGTAATTAGAACAAGGATTTGGATGCGAATAACTTACAATATCCTTGTGGGTTACATTCAGGATTGTGACCAAGGCTGGATTTTTGTGTTTCTCAAGAGGCTGTAAGGTTTGTTGCTTCACAGAGATGATAAGACAATGGACTGTTGTATCTCTCCAGTGTGAAGTCATGCATGCATGTTTTGCTTTTAAGATTTTTTTCCTATTTACCCCACTAGATAGTCCTTAACTTGCCTTTTGCTAAGATTCTTAGGACCCCTGACCTGCAAAGTCCACATCAATCCCACTCTTTCCTCTCCAGCTGGATAAAGCTCTCTTCAGTTCAGAACATTGCCCTGCACTATATTTCCTTTGGCAAACAGATGCCAGGCAGCAGTTGGCCATCGCTGGGAGCTGGTTGTATCTTCTGGCTCAAGGCCCGTACATCTTGTTACTTTTTGGCCTACATCCCATGCACACTGCACGCCTGCAGCATTTTGACAGAACTGCCTGGAGAGCTGCATGGGGCAGGAGGCTGAAGGGGTTCCCTTAGGCAAATGTGCCTGACCTCCTGCAGAAAAAGGGCCTTAAGGTGTTGCTAGTTCACTTCAACAACCTTCTGTTGTGTGTGTTCCATGGAGAGTCACAGGTTAAGATAATCTTACTACTAGGTTGATTTCTTAATTTTGAATGTTTTCAGGACAGGATGGCTTTGGGTTCAGGTTACATCTTTCTGGAGTGTACAGTTTTAATATTTAGCCTTCAGGGAAAATTTGGAGTTTGTTCACTGAATCTTTGTTTAGTAAGAGACATGATTTTGACCTTGAGAGTTTAGTGAAACAAAATTACTGGATTCACAGCTAGTGACAAGTAAACTACTTCTGGGGCAAGAAATGCCATATCTGCATAGCTGTGCTTGAGTATCATAGGTTTTCTGAGAGTATTTGCTAGCTCCTTACCTCTGGAATTGAACAGTGTTAGCAAAGTGTGTGTTTACTTTCAAACATTTGAGGAGTTCTGTTGTTCACTGTGGCTGTGGTCAAGTATGGAGGCTGTGGTGTTGTTTCCTGAGCTCTGTCAGGCTTGGTGCTGTGACCACTGCCCTGGGGAGCATGTTCCAGTGCACAATCACCCTGGATGTCCTCCAGGACACAGGTGGACCTCCTGGCTGCCAGGGCACTGCTGACCCATGTTCAGCTTGCCATGGACCAGGACCCCCAGGTCCCTTTCCATGGCACTGCCTTCCAGCCTCTCATTCCCCAGTCTGTCCATAGATCCAGGGTTGCCCCATCCCAGGTGCAGAATTTGGCACTTTGCCTCAGTGAAGTTCACATGGTTGGTGATTGCCCAGTCCTCTGATTTGTTGAGGTCTCTCTGCGGGGTCTCTGCAGAGGAAGTCAGTAGCTCCTCCCAATATAGGGTCCTTTGCAAACTTACTTAGTATCCCTTAAAGTCCTGTGTCCACGTAATTAAATGAAGTTGTTGAAGAGCACAGAGCCTAAGATTGGGCCCAGTGGAACCCCACTAGTGACAGGCCACCAGTGATGTCACCTCAGTCACTGTAACTGATTGTGCCAGTTGCTCACCCATCCCATGATGTATTTATCCAGCTGTGTGTTGGACATTTTGTCCAGGATACTATGAGAGACAGCAGTGAAAGCTTTACTGAAATCCAAAGGATTCCATTGATCAACTAGATGGGTTACCTCATCATAAAAGGAAATTAAGTTGGACAAGCGGGACTGGGATGTGGTTTAAAGGAAGATGATACTCATCTCTTTGATTCCAAAGAGTCATGCTCTCATTAAGACATCAGAATTTGCATAAAACTTCAGCATTTCATTGAACTTTAAAGCTTCATACACTTTAGGGTTGCATCAAATTTATAACTTTGATATCTGAGAAGAACAGAGTGCAGAAGGAGGCATTTTAGTAATCCAATGCCTAAAAATACAAGTAGAGTAAGAGAAATCCAAATTTGGCAGTGGCAGCTGTACATATTGTAAAGATGACCACATTTATCATGACTTTATGGTTTCAGTATGGCAGTTAATCAAGGAAGGATTTCAGGCTTGGTTTTGATGTGGAAGAGAGTTGGTAACTGAACTATTTTTCAAGTATGTGTTGACTCTGCTAAACCTGGAACAACTACAGAACTACTGATCTTTGTCTCCCAGTGTCAGTAATTTGAGATGATGAGGCATCTTTAATTTGAGAAAAACTTCACAACTGTAGTATTCCTATGTGATTTTAAAATCAATATTGTAGGTGCTAGGTGAAGTGATGAATCAAGGTAGATTTTAGTGACATTGTTACATTTCATTACCTTCTGGATAGAGTCTATGTTTTGGGGAAGCATTTGGGCACATGTCCATTTTAAGTAAGACAGCAGCCCTACTAAAGACAACTCTGCTGAGGGCCACCACTTGTCACCTTGACAGGGACATTTAACCCTTTTCCACTCTTCTCTGGATGCAGCCATCCAGCCAATCCTCATCCACTGAGCAGTGCATCCATCAAGTCTATGTCTCTGCAATTTGTAGAGAGGGATGTGGTAAGGGCTGTGTCAAAGGCCTTGCAAGGTCCAGTAGATAACATCTGCAGTTCTTCCATTGCCTTCAGCTCTACTGTTACGGAAAAAAATAGCAAATAGTTCAGGTTGGTTTGAATTATGTTGTTCCACAGCCTCTCTGATTTCTTTGTCCCTACTGGTGTAGTCCACATAGCACTCAAGTCATGATTTTGGCACTTCCTCATGCACAGAAATTCTGTGCTATGGCCAGTAACGTAATCACACCCTTAGCAGGAGCATAGGAGTAGAAAGTGAGAGAACAGTGTAAGAAGTGTGAGATTAATGTAACTGAAAAGTCTCATTGCAGATTTATTCCTGCCTTTGAAAGCCGTTTGGGCCTGAAATATATCTGGTACTCAAAGATGCAGGAGATTTATCCCAGAAGTCCATTACTGCAATAAAATGGTGGTGGAGCTGGTGTTGTGTGAGAGCTGGCTGCAGTATGAAATTTTGGAGAACAACACAAGAACAGCATAAATACTTGGGTCTGCTCTGAATGACTTGAAGAGATTTGCTGTCTCAGCAGGAATTTCCACCAGATTTTCTGAGGCAATTCAGAGTGACCTAAACCCTTTGGCAAAATTTGTGCCTCCAAACAAGGCCTGGTGTAATTGTCATCGGCATTACCATTCACTTTGGCAGAAAGCTGTAAGCTCTGTGTATGAATGGAGTGAGTGGAATATATTTGTTCAAGAGGTTTCAGTGAGCAAATACCAAATGTGGGTGACTTTGGCAGGTGGCTCATTCCCTGGTCATTTGACTGCGCAGAGATGGTTGAGTCAGGTTGATTAGCTGTCAGGCATGAATTACAGCTGGCTAATGTTCTCCCTTTCTCAGTCCTTCATGAAGCAGAGGTAATGCTGATGACTGGAGAGATTGACATTAAAGCTTTGTGCTGATAGCTAGCCAAATTGAGACTAGAGTGAAAAAGAAACCAGCATTCCAAATTTCCATGCATTGCTCAGCCATGCCTGTGTTTTTCCAAAGAAATGTACCTTTTTCTATTCTGTGGGATATTTGTATTGATATAGACAACTTTTACGCTGAAGAAGCACTAGGGTGACAAACTATGAAGCCTTTCAAGAAGTCATATGGACCTCTATGATTTGGTGGACAACTGTAAGAATTCCATTTGTGTATTAAGCAAATTTTTGAGGGCGGTTTCTCTTGTCTGGAAGAGTAGTATGTTCATACATCTTTAAAGAAAAAAAAAGTGCTGCATATGCTTTAAATACCTTGTGGGGTTTTTGAGGATTACCTTACCCTAATAATATCTTTATTATCCTTGCAGTGATGACATTTAAGGATAAGCTCACAGCTTTTAGACTTCATAATTACTTAACTCAAATGGGTATAAATTGTCCAATTATTTGAACATGTTCATGCATAGCTTGAGGTACTGTAAGTTTTTTGTTTTCCTGCTGGAGAACATGAGTAAGGTACTCAGAAAAGCAGGATGACTTTTGCTAAGGGTCTGTCTTCAAACCATGTTGATTCATATGACCAGAGCTTTCCAGACTCATCTGGAGCAGCTCCTGTTCTTCAAGAACAGAGAAAAATTACTCACCATACCACATCAGATCTTTAGAATATGTCATATTTATCTTTGATCTTTGAACTCAGGAGCTTCTGACACCTCACAAGGAGATGAAACATCCTTATGATGCAGCCAGTTAGTTACAAGGAATCTTGTTGCTGGTATTGTCTGGGATGATGTCACTTGGCTGGTCAGCTTGTTCCTTCAGGTGAAAGGTTTTCTTGCACTTTCTTCAACACCCATCATTATGCATGTTTATACTGGTCATGAAAATGTCTAGTTTCCATTACAGGTGCAAACACAGTTCCTTGCATCTGAACTTTGAGACAGCAAAACTCAACAGCCAAATGTAGGATGTATGGTGTAATATTTCCTTTGGAAATACCATAATATTACAGTGTAATATTTCCTTTAGTTCTATTATTTGGTTCTGTTATTTTGTTTTTATTAGCCTTTATTGTCCCTTTGACTGTCAGTAGCACCTGATGCTATTTTGCTTGTATTTGGCTGAGAAAGAAGATGTTCTTTAAATTACAGACTAGCAGAGTCCATGCTTTCAGTGGCCACAGACTGTAGCTGTTCTGTGATAGCCCACAAGATACCTGCTTCAGGCTGAGTCTGATCTTCATCAAATGCAATTTGAGGTTAAGCTTTGCCAGAGAAAAAACTTTCAAAAAACAAAAATCAAATTATTTTTTCTTCAGCCAAAGCCTACTCTCTAGCCTTGTCCTTAGATTTATTGGTGTCCTCTTGCAAAGTGAAGATGACACCAATATATATTCATGAAGATTTATAGATATATGTTTGTTTGGTGGTTAGATTTTGCCAGGGACAAAATGCTGCTTTTTTGCAGGTGCCACACACATCAGGCACCTCAGTATGCAGCAGGTCATATGTTCTTGAGCTGAGCTTGTTTAGCCTGGAGAAAAGGAGGTTTAGGGGTGACATTGTTCTTTACATGCACTTGAAAGGAGGTTGTAGCCAGTTGGGTTCTGGTCTCTTCTTCAGTGTCTCCAGAGCCCAGGCCCTGCTGCCTCCTGTTGCAATTCTCTCCTGTAGCACAGCCATTGTGTAACTCCCTGTCTCCCCTCCTCCCCACACACATGGTTTTCCCCTTTGAAATCACTGCACTGCTGCTGTGTTGTACCAGCTAGGAAACAGTGCCTGGTGCCCATGTGCTGTGTGCCTAGTTCCCATGGTGCCAACAGCCAGAGGCTGCTGCAGGTGATGAGCTAACAGAATGCTGCTGGAACCAGCACTGGTCCAAAGGTAAGATCCTGACTTCAGGCAAAATTCCCATTGATGTCAGCAAAGTCAGGATCCTACTCAGAGCAAGCAGTCCAGAGGCTGAAACTGGAAAGCTCTCTCAAGATCTCTCTCTGATATCCCTTTGCACTGATACATATGGTATTTTTCATTTTATTCTCTACAAAGCTCAGTATGAAGCAGCCTTCTGTCCCATGAAACTTTTCATCATGGACAAAGCATTTGAAAGCAGCTGTGAGTGGAATGAAGTACTAGAAACAGAAGTAAAATAAATTTTACTAAAAAACCCTTAGGGTAAGCCAGGTATGAAAAGAAGTTCAGAAATTTTCATTTACTGTCCAGCAGATCTGTAACAACTACAGCAGGCAGCAGAACTGAGAAACAAATAGATAGTTAAAGTCATTAGGGGGTACCAGCATTATTTCTTTAGAGAAGAAATTTTTACAGAACAGCTTGTGAACATGTGCACAAGTATAATCAGAATAGTGCACTTGAATTTTCAAAAGGTTTTAATGGGATTGTCGGCGTGCAGAGTCTGTCCCTGGAGTCTCCGTGGCACACTGGTAGCTGGAGGTGAAGAGGTGTCCAGTCTGTATCTGAAGTCCCAGCAGACCGTCCTCTCTCCTTTCCTCCTGGCACACTGGTAGCCGAAGGGTGGGGGGATGTGCAGAGCCTGCTGCAGAGATCCAGCAGCAGCTATCCCTTTCCTTCCCTGCTGGTAACGCCAGGAAATGTGTCTTTTCCTTGCGCCTTCTTCCCACAGCCCAGTCCAGTCTGGTCCTCTGCAGGTTATGGTGACAGGTCAAACACAGACTAGGGATGGGGTTCCCTTTTCCCCAACCAGCACACCCATTCCAGCCCCCTCCACTGTGCCCCTCTTTTCCATTTAGGGGTGTTTTTCACCCCCAAAACCCCCTCCCATGATTCCACTGGATTATTTCGCATCCCGTTCCTAGTGTGGGTGGGGTTGTAGGTGATTCCCAGGAGCAATTAGCTAATGAACATTTCAGTGTCAGTACTTAGCTCGAGCCAAGTGTCCCAGCCAGGCTGTTTTGTTCATAACAGAAAGCAGTAAAAAGATATGATTGGTTTTGTGTTGGAGAAAGGTTTTCTGAGAAGTCCCTTAAGGATATTTGTTGGAACATGTGCTATTTAACTGTTTCCATAATAACCTAGAAAATACCTAATATACTGCTAATAGAAAAGTATTCAAGGCAGGAAAAACTAAAAGCTACAAGGCTACAAGGACTTTCAGAAGGCTTCTAATTTACTCTTTATTGGATGAAAAACTGATTAGTTGAGTTTCCATCACTATGTGCTAACTATGTCCACAAAACCCCACAGATTATATAAATTTGTATACTGATCAATCATGAAAGCAATCATCAAGCAATCATGAAGACAAATTAGTAGAAGTTAGAGTTTCGTCAGAAGTCACCACTAAATCTGCCTTCATATATAATGCCATATGGAGTTCTGACTATATTTGAGAAAGGACTTCATAGTAGGTGAAAAGGTGTAGAGAAAAGCAGCAGAAAATATCAAACACATGAGTATGACTTCTGTAAAATGAGAGACTAGACAAACTCATATTTTTCTGTCTGATTAGAGACCTCTACTGGAGTAGTATAAAGTCAGGATTGGTATGGTGAAATTGGTTAAGGAACAGTTACTGGCAAATTCTCATAATTCAAAGCCAAGGGAAAGATTATGTCACCATACCTAAAATAGAAGTACTTTTAAATCAATTTAAATCAATGTGTAACAATGTTGCAAAACTCCCAGCCATTGGATCTTGCAAAGGCTAAAACCAGAAGTGAACTCAAGAGCAAACTGAACATAATCACAAAGGTTAGGTTCATTGTTTGCTCTTAAAATGACCTCCAAACTTGCTCTTCTCTCCTAAGCATTCTTAGGGCATGTGTTGATATAATTTGTCATTAAAAAGGGTAGGAAGGGAGTTGAGAAGAGCTATAATAATTGCTGTTAGCATCTGTTTCTCCAGTTGTGTCAGGAAGCAAATTCAATGTGAACTGGTTTAGTCTGTCTGCTGTGATACAGAAAATAAGTATTTATTTAACTTACCTTTCTTTT